GAAATTTCAGTCTAAGCTGATAGGACGGATTGATGAAGCCCCTGACGGTCTTGGTTCCCCTTTGTTGAGATGTCTCGAGAGCAACGAGATCCTATTTCTGTCACGAAAAAACGCCTAGATAGCTAATTCCGCTTGTGGTCACACGTAGGCGTTAGGCATTTGGGGAATGATTGAGGGTTCAAACCGACCGAACGCTCTGCGAAGAAGGCCGACGTGTTGATTGCCAGTTCTCGACGTCTTCTCTGCTGGTTTTGAACACCTGAGATCTTCCTTTACCAATACACTCAGATAACGCTGCTGAGAAGTCTTCCACAAGGTGTGGTCTCCAAGCATGTAAAGGCTCACCGGCTGGTGACGCAGATGCATCACCTTGCAATTATTTATGTTAAACTGAAGTAGGTCCCTGGTTGACCATTCATAAATGCAATCTAGGTCATATTGGAGAAGATCGTTAGCTTCATCTTTATCTTGACATTATCGGCGAAAAGTTGGAAATTTGAAGAGATAACTCTTGCCAGGTCGTTGATAACCAGCAGGAATAAGGGTGGTCCCAGTACCCAGTCCTGTGGGACACCACATTTCACCTCAACCGCGTTGGAGAGTTATCCCCTTACAAGCACTAGAAACTTCCATTGGTGAAGAACTTTCCAATCCAACCAAGGCCATGATCTTTGATTCCGTATCACTGTAGTATGTGAGGTAGGATGCGGTGATCCAGACGGTCGAAAGTCTGGAGAAGTCCAGATTGATGAGATCAACTCCGACCCCACCATCAACCACTTCCGTCCAGCCACATCGTGCAATCAGCGGATTAGTGAGGCATGACAGGTGTTAACGGAGGCGATGCTGCTCCGGTGCCAAGATGTTGCATTTTTCCAGGTATTCCATTAGAACCACAGCAGCAAGCGCTTCCATCTTCTTCGCGAGCACAGGGAGGAGAGTCACTGGGCGATAGTTTGCAGGCTTTGGACGGCTGTCACCTTTAAAAATTGGGGTGGTAATGTCACGCTTCCACTTAGTGGAGACTTGTTGTTCATCGAAGCACCTTTGGAAGAAGTGTGACAGTGGTTCAGCTAACTTGGTGGTCAAAGCCTTCAGTGCTTTCCATTGGAAGTTGTCGGCCCTCGGAGAGCTATGGGCGCGTAATGTGAGTAACTTTCTTAGAACAATTGATGGGTCGTAAACCACATGTGTAAAAATGGAGTCGGTAATGTGCATAACATTATGGGAGAGGTAGTGGCTGCGAGTTCGAACATTAGGGCGGATTGTAGCCGCAGGACCGTAGCTGCTTCTACTGCGCTTTGTACCCTACCACCTGTCATGAAAAGTGGATGGATGCCATGCTTCCCTTTACGAAGATTGTTGACATGCCTATAGAGCAGCTTGTTGTTTGCTAGGAATTTTTGGCTAGGCACTGTTGATAACTTACTTTGTCCTCACGGACAAGTGCATTGCAATAGTTGCGATGGGTCAGGCAATTGCTCCAAGTCTCTGAGTCAGGGTTAAACTTGTGCGCACGCCATACTTCACCGCTTATCGCCATCCATTTTCGAGCTCTGCTCCATAGAATTAAAGATCTTTTTGCGGGATGAAGCGGCTTGGTCTCTGATGCTCTGTTGACGATGTCACAGTCTTTCAACGAACTCTGTCCAAACGTTGTTAATTGGACTTTTGTTTAAGAATTCCCGAGCAGATGCGTCGACAAGTTCCTTCAAGACGTGGTAACGTGTGGTTGTATGTTCGTTCCTAGTTTGCAGATGGCTAGTCTGCATAACCAACATACTTGAACATTATTACTACATTGTCACTAAGACCTAATGGACTATCCATTAATAACTTGACAACCAAGAGCTCTTCATTCGTAAGCAAAAGGTCCAATATGGACGGTTTGCTTGCTGTCGAGCATTTAGTGGGCGTGTTGGTACGATTGTACAATGTAATCTTAGCGATAATTCATGCAAGTCTGCTTTGAACTGTTCACTGTGTGATGCCGATACCCATAGATCGTGTAAATAGAAGTCCCTGGAGATGAGAATGTGGCTGTACCTAGTGCGTGTGACTCTGTTCAGGACACATACCAAGCGGAAATCCATTTCCGGAGTGGACGTTGGAGGGCGATAAACGACAGCTACGAGACATGCGTCGTTGTGTCTTAGTCGGAGACGGCAACAGAGTGAGTCGCTAACTTGAGTTTCCAGATCATTAACTATTTCACATTGCAGTTCGCTGTGGTGGTAAAGAAGGACCCCACCTCCTCTGATGGGGCGGTTATTCCGGATGAGTGACATTCCTGCTATCACAAATCCAGCAACAGTCGCCACTTGGTGCAACCAAGTTTCTGTGATAGAAATTAGATCCCAAGCATTCGCAACCTGACGTACCCAAAGTTCGGTAACTTTACTGACGAGCCTTCGGCCGTTAATGTACACAGCAGCAAGTTTCTTCGGATTTAAGCAATGGTTCGGAGGTTGCGCAACTCAGACGTGAAATTTCGCCGACCGGTGAGGGGCCAGCGACTACTCGTTTTTTCGGTGTGTACTTAGAGAAAGATTCAACGTCTTATTCATCGTCTGCGCATTTAGTCCCGTGTCTATTCTTCTACGTACAGTGTAAGGTGTCTGGTCAATATCATCTACAGGTAGTATGGGCTCATTAGACACACTACTGGTGCATTGTTCTTTTATAGACCCCATGGTGTTTGGTTCGTTGAGTGACGTATCATCTCCAGGAGGCATATTGCTGACTCTCTTCAGCCGTAACTCAGATGGTAGCCTGCAAGAAAACATGCATTAACTTTTAGCAGCCTTGTTACCATATCTTTTGACTGTATGACAAACTCCAAGACTGGGCCGTCTTCCTTTGTAGTTCGGTGAGGTTTGCAGTGCTGAGACGGATTTCGCTAGCACATCATCCAAGCATAGGGTTTCACAAATATAATACCACTGTTCTTTATCATGGGTTTTTATTCCATGCTCATCACATGCTTCAGTCTTAGGAACCCCGTGGAAAAGTATGGTTCTGATTGAAGTTTCTTTCCGGTAGTCCTCTAAAGTGCGGTTAACTCGATAACACTCGCACCATGGGATGTCTGGAAAGATAAGGATGGGGCATTGTTTATTTTTGTGTCTACCTGTCGACAATAGCTCTGATTTTACTTCATTGATGTAGCTCAGCACAACGCGCAGAAGTCTGGGCTCTGCGTAATTCTGAAAGTTGGAGTGCCGCGTAATACGCACTACGTGTGCAGCTTTCAGTACAACTCCGATTAGGTTACTAATAATGTCGCACTCTTTGAGGTCGTCCAACTGAGTGGCTGTTATTGATGTCGACTTTGATTCTGGGATACTGGAACCCAGTACCATCAGTATAGGTAGTTGTTTCTTTACACCTTTCGACTTGTCGCGGTTAGTTATTGAAATACTCGGAGATCTACCGCAGGAAAACGGTGGTACTTGCACTAGAAGAATTCCGCTACGCTCATCAGTTTCCAATCCAGTTGGGTGGGATGTTAATTTTCAATGACAGCTCTTATTGGAAGCAACCATAACCTAACTTTCTATGGTACCGGCTTGCACTTTTTCTACGTACTCCGTTAGGAGATTGGAAGTAGCTTTACATGTAGTTACTCCGATCGAACTGGGAAGCGCATTAGTCAACTGGAAGCTACGTGTGGCATTGGAACAGCAGTTGATTTTCTGGGCTCTTGGTGTCGTGTTGCTTAAGGCGTTACTAGCCGTTCTCCTCAGGATAGGAGCAGCACTTACTGGGGAGGCTTGGGTAATACATTCCGTTATGCTTACTCTAACCGTGTTGATATTAGTGGTCACCATTTCCACAAACTTGGCTAGTAACTGGTCGTACTTCTGCGATAATATGAGGATGCTTTTCATCCGTGGGATAGATGTGCATTCCACGCAGAACCATAGAGAATCTGCTTTGTTTAATAAGCTGGCCTGACTAGGTTTAACTCGGAGGCATTTCGCATGGAAAAGCTTGCAACGGTTACGACACGGAACGTCCCCCTTTAACAAGTTTAGAATCGCACCAAATGAATTCGCCTTGAGACCTGTAGCTGCTGCAATCAATGTTGGATTTGAACGACTGACAGTTCGTTCGAAAGTCGTTGAAATGGGCTGTCGTGTGAGACCAAACAATTTCTCCGATGATCAGAGTTACACAACTTTTGGCGCTGGAATTTCAACGAAACACTGCCCAGCATTTAGAATGCAGCGTAAATTTAGAATACCTTGGGATGTACTCGAGAATACGGTACCAAACGGTGTGGCTTTTAAAAGCAAGACGAATAAGTATAGATCCAAAAATGTGCGACAAAGTGCCGCGGACCTCCAGTGAATAAACCACGAGTGCACAAGTGAGCTATTAGCACGTATGTTCACGCAAGGTCACTACCTGATTAAGGCCTATAGACTGTTGCTTGCGGTGTTTATTCTCCGCAGTAAGTTTTACTTTATTCCAAAAGTAGTTTAAGTAGCAAAGTTTCCCTTTACACGATAGTATTCGCGTAGTGCTTGTACTACCTTTTGTGTTATGTCCGCTTTTGCGTGATCACCAAATATATTATAGTATATCCGACGTAGTTTAAAGACCTCCTCGTTTGGGCAAGAATTTCAAGTAATGTATTAGTTTTGTTATTACCTTTGAACAATCAGGTAATCGGTTGGAGATGTTGGAAATAATACTGCAACCGTATGCCTTAGAACTGGTTGCCACCCACACACACGGCACCGCGGTTACATGTACTGAGCTGCTGCAAATCAGATCAAGCAGTCATCCCGCCCAATGCAGGATCGCATCCTTTTAAAGTCGTTTCTCTGGACCATTCGCGAGTCCACCATAAATTTTCTTATTAAACCTTCTTCATAGCATTCCTAGGTTTGCGCCATAGTAGCCGTAATTTTTGGTAGCTGAAGGTATACGACTTGTTGATTGGGCTCATATAACCCCTTCAAAAATCTAATTATTTCCCTAGTGTAGTACGCATCTTTCTTACCCAAGTTAAATTACAATGTAGTTGTGTGCGTCTTATGATTTCGCTTGCCGAACAACCTCCTCGTGGTGCCAGCTGGGTGGTTCGGGATTTTCCCGTTCCAGCAAATGGTTCGGCGGCAGTGTTCCAGGACGTGGTGGGTTTTCGCCTGGCAAGCGTTCTCCCTATAAAAAGCCACATATGTCCGTTTAACAACACTGTGACGTGGCGGACGTGACTCGCCACTAAATAAAGTCACTGCCCCTTGCTTCATCCTGGCGAAGCATTGTATTCCAGCAACCTTATGCTGTACTTCTGGGGAGCATTGGGCCCCTGTTTGACAAAGGAACAAACGAAAGGCGTATGAACTGAGCAATCAGTCACCGGCTCTCAATGGGCGCGATTCCCTGAATTCGCTCCGCTGCCTTGCGGGCAGGCTATTCAGCCAAAGGCTCGGGGTGGTGTCCCCTAAGTCACACCCTACTTCGGCTTGGGCAACCGGGTAGTATCTCGCCCTCTGAGGAAACCATGGACATTGTTGTGTTGTGTTTTATTTTGCTGTTTCTGTACCTTCGTTTGAATCCCATGGTTTCTGATGGCATTATGTCTGTTAGCAGACTTTTGCAAATATATATATATATATATATGATTTCGCGACCACAGATGCATGGTCACTTCCAGCCGTTATGGATTAAGTATATTTTAAAGTTTCTCCACAAGCAAGCGAAATTCGTATTTTCCAAGCCACAATGAATTGACGGCATCCGTATCGGGATTTGCCTGTCACTGTGACCTCCATGGAGACATCCGCAGGACGCCTGCGCCTACAGAGGGACCATGGGTGGCTTGTGTTGCACCACCCATAGTCCCATCTACACACTCCATCTCCGATGTAAACCCGAAGAAATAAAACCGGGAGGCGTGTGGATGCGAGCTACGTTTCATCAACTGAGCCGGTGCGCACTCCTTCAACAAGCAGAAAAGAAGCATTCCGGCCTAATTGGGAAATCATGCACACCAGAGGTACACATGCCGGTGGCTGGACTGTAGTCCGTTCCACACAGGATGGAACCACTCTTTGGGCCTAGCACCGTCACAAGGACGGTGCACTCCGTCCCCTCCAGCCACGACCAACTGTTTCCTGGAGCAAGTATGGACAAGGTAGTGGGTAATAGACAGGCAGACACCTTGTCAAGATTCACGTCAGGCCCAGCCACATCGGGGAGCTCAAACGACTTCTACTTCTGAAATGCAATCTTATTCATCACGCAGGCAAACGTACTATATACGCCGCCTTATTGACCTGGATGTGTAAATCGAATAGGAGGGTACGCATCGTGCTCCTATTCTGCGTGCAATAAAGCCTTCTCTTGCACCTGAGCAATCGCCCGTTTGAGCAGACCACGGAATTCGCATCGATCAATGTTGCCTTGGATTAGCCACACCTGAAATTAACATGAGTTTGTCCTAAACCCACCTTCATGTTCTGGTACTGTTATTTTCGCTTTGCGCGAGTGCCGCTTCCCTGCACTAAGTTGGCCGTATAAAGCGGTACGAGTATGCTCGTCGAATTTATTCGATATACATATATATATGAACTGGCGTCATACGTGTCCAATGCCAGTTCGAATACAACATATGCACATGCGTTTATCCAAAGTTACATGTGAACGTTCACAAATTGCATAGACACATGCACATCAAGCCACAACATACACAATTTTATTGTCTGGTTAGGCATTGCATCCGAGCATCATGCGAGGTCATCTAAATTAGTAGGCAGTTGTATAGCACAGATTTCAACATATTTATTACCCGGCTGCTAAGTTATGCTTAAACAAAAGAAGTAGACTGTTAACTAGTGCCCTATTTTATTATTCAACTGATAAGTATGTTGATAAACAGAAGTAATTTCCTATTGCTAATGGCATAGACCCAAGATAACCGGCTGTAGGTGTCCGGAGATTACTTCCATTTGCCTGAATCCGTAGGGTAAAAGTCAAACTAAAATTACTATTCCATTGTACACTTAGACGATCGGTGAGTAATGTTGAACTGCATGGGGAGTTTGCTTGCTTGAATGGAGCACCGTCTTAGTGTGGCATCTCGCTTGGTCTGTAAGGTGCGACCGCTCTGGGTAATGCACTTTTTCATAAAGCTAGAAATATTCATGTGTGTTGTTTTCATAGGTAGTACAACAGAGAACCTGTTACTGTAAAAATGAAGGCTTCGCTGAAACTGATCAGACTTTTAGAACCACAAATTTGGCTCCCGCTACAATGTACATTTACTCTACAACATCTGATCCTACACAGTGAGGTGTGGCACCGTTTGTCTTCGCGCCTTTCAGTACGACAGATGCAGATCCACGTCGCTGGTCGGTTTTCTTTTCTCTTTGTGTCCTAAATATATGAAAGGATGTAGTTTCTTCCTACTAACACATGACAGGACACCATCACTTACCGCAGACTGTAAATTCGTTATCATTATTTGTCATTTGCCGGCCACATTTTCAACGCTTATATTCGTGCCTGATGCATTGCTGCTGCTATGTGCACAATAACGACTTGAAAGTAAGTTAATCTGTCGTCTTTATTCAACTACTAATTCAATTATACTTTTTGTATTTTGCAGCCTCCGGCTTCCCAGAATTTGCCAGATATCACCGAAAATGTTGCAGTTAGCCAGCCCCTTAGTTTTGCCAAACGTTACCCAGTGGACAACGCTTATAACAGCCGAGTACATAAGTCAGTCTCAATGGAAAGCAGCCGGCGGTGGTTTGCGGATCTTGTTGCAGAACAAATTCAGTCTGGTCGTCTATTCGAAGACAAGCAGATGCCTGCAAACGACGCTTTCGTAAAACGAAATGCCAGTCCATACAGCAGGGAATTCCGATGGCTTAGACCACAAGTAAGTTGACGCACTTTAGCCACCGTGCTTATTTTATTGCATGAAATACCATTGGATGTGGGATAATGTAAAAGATACCAAGATTTATTGGGTTTGGATCATTTTTAATGTACGCATTCAACGTCTACATTGCTTTGTAAGATAAGATGTATGTACACACAAGGCCTGTAACCGTATGATTGTACCCAAGCAATATGAGAGGGTCGTTAATCTCCATCTTGCTTATCGGTACAAAGCATTAAGCAGTGGTCGTTGACATTTTACGGCAAACACTGCTGGTATCTGAACACATTCCAGTTCTTCCGAATCTGCTCCCTATTCTGTTGTATCGGTTTTCCAAAGATGATTTGTTGCCTTTCTGGACGAGGTGTAACTGTTGGATCAGAATCTGTACTACAGTAGTGATCAGCGGTGGCTGAACTTAATGGCGAAACAAATTTGCACATCACATTATTACAAACAGACGTGGATTTTGCAGGATGAAAGCGCGCCAGGCTAGGAAATGTCCACCACTTTTGCGCTGCGACACAAACACCCAGAAGCTTACTAAAGCCAAATAGTTTCAAGTCGTCAATACACCTGCACGAAATAGCCGTTAAAAAATTCGTCTGTCGTTTGACCTACGTTTACTTCAGCTGCGTGTGCTGTCGTTCAGTTAAGTTTATCAAGAACAGGCAGTTTAACTGTTACTGGTCCTTCTCACTCGTATCTACTACTTATGGCGTTTGTTCTGATTGCGTAAGGTCAAAGGTGTCTGAGGCACTGAACTGCTCTGTGACTTGTAACCTAAATAGTGCAGTAACACTGTGCAACGACACCAAATTTTTTTGTTACAGTAATGCCAATCTCCCTACCTTATAGCATACGCTCTACTGATCGTAAAAATGTATTCTGTGGTTACCTGGTACGTCAGGTTACATCGTTATATGCAAACGATTAGTTTCAGTAATGTCATGGCTACGTCGTACGAATTAGGTGTAAATGTACTGCATCACAACATATACAGAATGCATCGATGTGACAACTACGTTTAAAATATCACTGCAACACTCGACGCTAACTACTGACTGCAGCTTGGCACTGGGAAATGATGACTTCGCCGAGATCGTCGCTTGTATGATCCAGCGCCCTCACGCTGCAGAAACCAGCAAAAGTCACCCATCATAGAAGGCGTGTACTTGCCACTGTAGCGCTGCTCCATGACTGAAATGTCTTGGTGAAAGCGCTCACCATGCTCATCGCTAACAGATCCCAAGTTCTCAGGGAAAAGTCAAGGTGATTATGCAAAAAGTGCATCTTGAGTGACATTCGAGCACCAACAGCCCGATAGTCCGCAATGAGCATTTTGTGATGTCTTTGTAGTTCTCTGCCTTTGTTCTGCCCAAAAATCCTGTACACACTGCCTTGAATGATCGCCACGCTTCTAACTCAAATGAAGTCAACTGGCATTCGAAAGCACTGTCTGCCATTATCCGGCGAATATCAGGCCCAATAAGTATCCCTTCTTTGAGCTTCGCATCACTGATCTTCGGAAACACTTGTTTCAGGTACTGGAACGCAAAACCATCTCGCTTGAGGGCTTTGACGAAGTTTTTAATCAAACCAAGCTTGATGTGCAGGGGTGGTAGATAGATATGATCAGGCTGCACAAGAGATGTATGCTTTGCACTCATTGTCCTTGCAACATAATCATTTCTGGCCACTTTCCGGTTTTGCAGTGCTGCTTAGTTGCTCTAATGTCCCATAAGTACAAGAACAGCAATGTTTTGTGAAGCTTTCTTACATACCCATTTAGAGTCCAAGGACTTTGAAGTCAGAACAGATGTTTCAACAGTATTTATCGTAGTTCAGTGCAGCAAGTATCTATTGCATACTTTCGTAAGTCCCCTTCATATTGTTGGCGTGTCACAGATGCACAGTTGGGTACACATTTCCATTGTGGAGCAGTATGGTCTTTAGACTATTCATTGACGAGTCAATGAACAAACGCCATTCATCGATGGTATGCCTCTCCCCAAGCTCCTTCATCGGTCCTCATAAGTTGGAACAGTAACCAAGTTTTCTCACGTGTCATAGAAACCGGACAAACTAACACTTCGATTTCTGTGTACAGTAACCGTAGTGTTTGCAGCAAGTGAGTGACACTGCTGCCGCCGAGATGACTTGTCTTTAGGCAAGCCTACGCCAAGCCTCAAGTCATTCAGCTCTGCTTGTTCAATAAGATGTGGGTTGACAACATCAGCTTAAAGAATTCACAGATATCAAACTGCTGAGAAGATGACGATGCTGAATCACTACTCATCATCAGTGGTATGTTCGCTGGAGGCACTGGAATGGATAAGGTGAAGTCATGAGGAACAGTTCGAATAGCTGATGGAAGATCGGGGTAATGAATTTTGTCCTTGTTTCGGTTGGAGATTCCAATGACTGCGTAGGCAGAAGTAGCAGTCCGCCGTGTGATTCTTCGGTTGACTCCACACCATGTGGATTACAAAGAGCATCTTGCCTTTGTCATTGAGCCACTGAGTCCGATGAAGATGACACACAAACGATATGCGGCGCCCACTCCTTATCCTGATATCTCAGCTTCATTCCGAAATATGCGTGGTAGGCAGACTAAAGTAGTAGAGAAACGGGACTTCAGTGCCACTTTGTAGTAAAATGTTGACAGACATAACAAAAATCATTTCGGTCGTTGACGAGCAGCGTCTTTCAGCCATGATCAAGATATTAATTAAGGAAACATAGCTCCTAATTGACTTTCAGTATCAGGTGGCCAAGAAGACATCTTTTCAAGATTAAAGGGTGCCAATGGACAAATCACAGGCGAGCATTCGATGCACATAACACGTTGCTTGGATGAAAGCAAAATTAAAATTAAAATATCGAGACGTGATGGAAAATTTGGTTTGCATGTTCGTAGCCAGCTCGTTTGGTACTACTAGAAATCGCCTACCTCATTTCTGTCATAAGAAGGATGTTGCACATTGTAATTATGGTAGCTTAAGTGTTATACTTGTCTTGCTAACGCCCTAAAGTTTCGTGCTGTCGATGTTTGCTGCGTTTTAATATTAAACGATAACAGTCTTTGAGCACCGATACAAATAACAGGTAAAGTATACTAATGATGCAAAAGCACTTGAAATGCTTAATAAGAGTCAATGTTACGCGTTATGCACCCATGGTGGGCGAAGTCTACGATTATGTTACCTAAACACAAAGTTGCACGTGGAATCTGTGCTTGTAGAATCCATTGCACTCAAAAATGAACTATTAGCAGTTTGACTTGTACTACATGTACTACAAAACGTTTAAAGAGCAACTTGTTGCACATCACAGTCCAAGCACAACTAACAGTAGATGTGGTTTAAAATACATGATTCACCATAAACGTCAATTAATGTTTAAACAGATTGTTAAATCAGACGTCCCTGCTCTTAATGCGGATGTGGGCTTAACTGCCTGCAGTATGCTAAAATCATTTTGGTGGTTAACCAAGCCATGTCCCATGCAACATGTACACATCCCTGTAGGTTTCTATCAAGCAACTATTTCATGCATATAAAAATACATTCCGCCATCCACCATCTTACCTCTTTTACGGAGGAGTAGCTTTTCGTCTATTACATTTCAGCTAGCTGTGAATGACAGCGTTCTAGTAACTATTTATTTGCTGGTCTTCATACAAGGGCTCACAATCGATATTTTCTCTAGACCGCAGTGATCATGCGACTTTGGATTTCATGTACACTTGCTCTACGGAATACCCCGAAGACACAACTCAAACGACTCGCACCATAACCTTAGGCCGAATCATGGGGGTGATCGACTGGAGCTTCCTAACTGAGGATTCACCGGACATTACCTGCGAACGTTTCATCAGTAAGTTTAACACCTTGGTTAGTGGCGCATCGGAAACCAAGACTGTCAGTTCGAGAAACATGACGTCGTTTATGCGGAGTAGGACACGCAAATGCATGGTGATGCGCAACGCGGGGTAGTATACCCACAAAACCGATCCGAGTCTGAGTACCTGGAAGGCCTATGTGGTCCACTGTACGCAATTAGTGTGCGAGGACAAAGTAGCTTATCAACATGTCTTAGCTGAGCAATTAACTTCAAATGCTAAGCTTCTATACAAGCAGGTGAACAGCCTCCACAAGGTGAAAAGTGAATTTCCCCCTCATCAAACAGCGGATGGTCTAACTTGGACTGTTAAAGCAGCTTCGAACGTTCTGCAACGACAAGATGCACCAACATTGCATTGCATCTCGTGGTCTCCTAAAGTGTTGGAAACTAAGGTGTCCCCACCAGGACTCACTCATTTAAATTTTAGGGCAAACACCTTGATGAGAAACCTGCTATCCATGTGCCTGCAAGCCTGTCCAGGTATTGGTGACATCTGCCCAAGGACGCTAGTTGTGGAAGCTAAGGTTTTGGCTGAACACATGGTGCGGCTGTTCCAGCACTGCCTGGACGAGAGGCACGTTCAATCAATGTGGAAACACGGGATAATAACTCCCATTTACAAAGGGGTAGTCGTTTCGATCTATCTAATTATTGACCAGTGACTCTTCTGCCAGTTCTTTCAAAAGTTATGGACGCTATCATTGCCGATGCACTCATGTCTTATCTGGACGGCCTTAATCACATTGCTCGGCAGCAACACCGCTTTCGCCAGCATCGGTCGTGCACAACCAACCTATTGTTAGCACGGGACAGCTGGACCGAAACGGTGGATGTTGGTGCGAGCGTTGTGGTGGCATACCTTGATTTCTCTAAGGCATTCCACCGGTTGCATCATCGTATCCTTCTTGTTAAACTTCATAGTGTGGCATTGGGAACCCTTTTCGCTCACATAGGTGTCTGGAGATGATGGTAGGTGAATCCAAATCAGACCCAATTCACGTCGATTGGTGTGCAAAAGGGTTCGATATTGGGGCCACGTCTCTTCTTGGTCTTAATAAACGATCTAGTGAGCCAAATTAATTCAAACTGTT